GGGCCCAGTGACAGTGGGAGCCGTCACCACCTTAGGCCAAACAGATGCTTGGAGGGAAAGAGGAGAACTGGAGCCGCCAAGGCAGGAGCTGTAGTCTTAAAGGAAGGGAGTGGGGGAAGGGGTGCTCCCCCGAGCTCCCGCTCCGTGCCTCCCATTAGCGTACCCGAAATAGAAACCAGAAGACCAGGGAGCCCCAGTTTCACAGTCCATGGGTGTCAGCTCTGAAAGTCCAGAGAACGGGGGGCTCGGGAGGAGCAGAAATAGCCAGCTAGCCCATCGGATGGTAGGAGCTGGGGGGGCGTGGAGAGGGTCTCCCCTTAAGCAGCACGCTCCTCTTTGCAAAATCACTGCCCCCTTATAATTCCCTTCTGGACCTCAGGCTGCTCCACTGACCCGGCTGAGTGACTCGGTGGTTTGTCGTGTGCTGGTGGCATAGGTGCCTGTTTCCGTCCCACCAGGTCCCAAAGTCAGGTGTGTGTGGTGCAGGGCCCTGCCTCCTTCTCCATGTGTCAGACCCCAGACTGAGGTCCTCACCGAAAGGCAGCGTGTCCGCTCGTATGGCCAGTCGAGGCTGAGGCGTGCCCCTTTCCCTGCCGTCTTCCTGGTCTGCATCGCAGGGTACGAATGAACCGTGGGACGCCATCTAAGCCAGCCCTCCACCTGCAGCCAGGACCAGCCTAACCGTCCCTCCCAGTCTGGGGACGTGTTTTTAAGACGCACAGTGCAGGAGTTCGCTCTACAAATATTTACTGAGCGCACTCTGACCTGGGCATGGCTCTCAGGGTAACAAGGATCGAGGCCTTCCCTCCGATGCTCACGGTCGAGCCGGGGAGACCAGCACACACGCAGGTGTTACGGGTAGGTGTGCAGGGCACAGGGAGGGCGCCTGGCTGCAGCCTGGTGAGGTGGGCAGGGCCTGCCCTGGGCCGCCAACAAGTCGGCCATGATGCAGGGAGCCCTTCCAGGGCTAGGGCGGAAATACAAAGGCCCAGAGATGGACGGAATGCGTAGAGGCCAAAAGGAAAAGTAAGGAGGAAGTCACCTGCCCATAAGCCTTGGCCAGTGCCTCCGCTTTCCTAATAATGAAATGGGAGAATAACGTCTGTCCTCATGAGTAGGCTGGGGTCATGTGCTTACAGCTCCATGGGACCCAGGAAATCCATAATCCACAGGAAGAAGGCCCTTGGACTGCAAGAGATGAAAACAGGCAGCAAAAGCAGGATTTGGAGAGACGCAAAATGCCTGACTCTCCACGTCCTCTTTTGAGACACCCAGCGCTGCACTGAGTGCTGGGCACCCCGAGATGAGCCAGGTTTTAAGGCTCCTTTGGCAGAGGTGCGCCGTGCCGGGAGCCAAGGTTCGAACTCTCTCTGGGGAGAAGGTGGCGTGGGTCTCCGTGGAGTCAAGTGGAGGCCGGAGGCCGGGGAGGAGCTGCTGGTGGGTCTCAGGTCAGAGGTCAGGGCTGCACTCCCTCTGCTGTGCCTGGAACCTTCCGTGCACCGTGCTCTTGCCCTGCACCAGCCCCAAGTCCCTTGAGGCCCGGGGCTGTGTCTTCTCACACATTCCCCTGCCTCCTCTCAGATGCCTCAAATATAACAAACTCTCATTAGGCTCTTTTAATGAAATGCAATTACTCTGGATTACCCAAGGCCAATTTTAGCCCCGAATCACTGTCCTCGCTGCCTGCGACAGTTTGAGGCCACCACATTCCCACCACCGAGGCAGTGGGCGCTTGGGAACGCAACCTGGTTTCATATTAACCTGAGGGGACTAGAACTAGGAAGGCTAATTCTGCTATTTCTGGAGAGCCGTGTATTGTGCTCCAACTTCAAATAACCTTCCCTTGTTCCTGCTCTTCAGGGTGATAATGAGAAGCCGAGGGCATAGTAACAACAGCCAGCGTTTTGTGAGACTTGGGCCGTGTCAGGCAGTGTTGCAAGTGTTCGTTCATTGAATCCTCCCATCCATTCTTTGCTGGCGCCTCTCTTACGCATGAGGAAACTGAGGCTCAGAGAGGTTGAGCAGCTTGCCCCAGGACACACAGCTTGTACATGGTGGAGCAGGAATTTGAACTAAAGTGGCCTAGGTCCAGAGCCCCCAACCTTAACGGCCGTGCCACCTCTCCTCTTGGAGTGAAAAGCCCTTACAAAGAGGAGACGAGCATTTGCAAGAGGTGACAGTCGAGGGAGGCCAAGAGGGAATTCTCAGCAACTCCTAGAATGAATGGAAACCTCTCCCGGCTTCGTGTGACACAGGAAACTCAGGGCTGATGGCTGGAGTCAGAGAGAGGCTGCGTCCGGGCCTCGCGCTGGGCCCACCTCCCGGGTTCTGATATGTCGTCCTTCTCCTGAGTTCAGGCTTAGCTGCCACCAGATGCAGCCTCTTGGCCTCCCCCACCCGAGCAGGACTGCAGCTCCTCGGGGACCCTGGCACCAGGAGGGAATACCCACCACGCCAGACTCCCGACCAATTTCTCTCCCCCATCTTAAAGCCCCGGCTCCCCCTGTATCAGGCTGTTTCCCTGCCTCGCCAGCTGAGAACGCGTGTGTTTTAAAGCTGTGAATGGCCCATTTCGGCTCGGAGTCCAGATGCACTTTTATATCCGTGTGGAAAAAAATGCAGAGGCTCTGCTGGCAGTCAGAAAGAGTTTTTTAAATTAAAGTTAAAAAAAAAAAAGAAAGAAAGAAAGAAAAAGTTTCCTGCACCTGGCCCTTCTCGGAAAAGCACAGAGAACAAAGCATTTCCTTAATCTGGCCACACGTCTAGTTTTAAAAAGATGCATGTCCCACCCACCTCCCACCCGTGCTTTTCACATTCGGTTCTTATTCAACAGCTCTGATGTGTCACCGTCAGGGCTTGTTGTGTGTAAGTCCCACGATCAGCCCCATTTTACAGATCGGAAAAGCAAGGTTCAGAGTGGGGCCGTCGGCGTCCCCAAGGTCACCATGTTACCTTCCTAAGCTGCTGTACCCAAGAACCACAGGCTGGGTGGCGTAAAACAACAGAAATAAATCATCTCACAGCCCTGGAGGGCGGCAGTCCAAAGTGAAGGTGTCAGCAGTGCTGGTTCTCCCTGAGGGAGACCTTTCCATGCTCTCCTCCGAGTTTCTGGTGACAGCCATTGCTCCATGGCTCGTGCACGAATCACTCCAGTCTCTGCCTCCATCGTTCACACGGCGTCCCCCCCGTGTCCATCTCTTAGAAGGACACCAGTCTTTGGATTAGGGGCCCACCTGCTCCAGTGTGTCCTCATCTTAATGTAACTTGACTGTTTCTGCAAAGACCCCATTTCCAAATAAGCTCCCATCCTGAGGTACCAGGGGTTAGGACTGCCACATATCTTCTTTTGGGGATCACAGTCCAAGCCCTGACAGTCACAGTGCAGCAGAGGGCCAGAGCTGGGTTGGTTCCAATGCAGACTCCTGGTTATGCGCTGCCTGCTGCAGGCTGGTTGACACGGCCACCAAAGGGCTCCCGTCCTGTGCCCTCTGCACCCAGCGCTCTCTGGCCGGCCTAGGGGGCCTCTGGCACCAGTTTCTGTATACCCTGCCCCCCCTTTACTAAACCCTCCTCAGCTACCTGGAAGGATGAGAGAAGCAAGAGGGACAAACCCCACAGCACTCCTGTACCAACGGTGCTGTCTGCAACCCAGAGCGAGAGGAAGACCCCCTTTAGCCGCTGTTGCTCCCCGGTGCTGACGAGCGCCTGGAGCTAGCCCTCTTCCAACCCCGAGGCCTCTCTGCTGAGAGAGAGAAGCTGCAGATGGGATGAGCCTGCAGGAAAAACACACCATGAGAACTAGCATTTATTGAGCACTGGCAGAGTGCACCCACCACGTTCCAGGCACCTTCTGTGTTAACTCTTTTTCGCCTTCCCTGGGACCCTTAGACTGGAGTACCATTAGCATTCCCATTTTATAGATGAGGAAACTGAGGCTGGGGAGAGGCCTTTAACTTGCCCAAGGTCTTGAAGCTAGGATGTGCAGGGCCCAGGCAGCATGGCTCCAGAGGCCAGGCTCCTGGCCACGAAGCCCCGTGGCCTCTGCACCCCGGGAGTGCTTCCAGAAGAACCCCTGCCCGATGTCATGTAGCTTGAGACCCGGCAGTGTTTAAGAGGGAACGCACCAGCGGTGTAGGGTTCCATTTCTAACGAACTGCCCAGAATAGGCAAACCCATAGAGACAGGAAGGAAATTGGTGCTCACTGGGGGTTGGGAGGGTGGGAGTGACTGCTAATGAGTACAGCTTCCTTTGGGGGTGATGATGGTGAAAATGTTCTAGCAATTGAGTGTGATGTTTATGCAACTCTGAAATATACTAAAGACCATTGAATGGTACATTCAGATGGGCGACTTGACTGGCGTGCGAATTATGTATCTCAATATAGCTGTTAGAAAACAAAAACCAAAAAGAGGGGTGTGGGCGGAGCGTGGAGGTGGGGAAGAGCGAAGAAGGACCCGGGGAGCAGAGCGAGGAGTGTGACCCCGGCCGCTGGGATAGGAGCCTGTGGCCAGCGAGGAGGCGAAGGGAGGCTCAGCCTAGGGCGGCAGAGAGAGATGGGGCCAGCAAAAAGGATCGAGCCACCGGGTGAAAATGAGGGGCCTGCGTGGCTGTCATCCAGTGGCCAGACAGGCCTCCGCTTTCTCACATGGTGCTGGCCCTGACAGCCGGGCGGGAGGCGAGCCCGCTAATGAGGTCACCCTCCCCAGACAGGATATAACATGGGACAGAAGCCGCCCCTGTCTGCCCCAGGCCCCCACGACAGGCCCAGAGGGCAGATGTGTATCAACGGCACCGTCACTTGCAGCTCCCTCCCTGGGAACGGAACCCACTAATTAAATAGATGCACCCAACAGCTCGCACACCCTCGCCCCGGAGAGCAGGTGTCACGAGGGCCAGAAGCTGGCCTTTGAGTCTGCAGCACCGGCCGTCAGGAGGGCAGAATGGAGTGTCTGGGGTTAGGTCTCAGCTAATGTTGTGTTTCTTGTCCCTGCTCCCCCAGAGAGCCTTCAACGCGCTATGTCACAGCACCCACTTGTACGGCCGGAGGCTGGTCCTGGAGTGGGCCGACTCTGAGGTGACCCTACAGGCGCTGCGGCGGAAGACGGCCGAGCACTTCCACGGTAAGACCGGTGGGGATGCCAAGAGAACTGCCCTGGACCGGACGGGCCAGAGGGGCCGGGCGCCCCAGTCGTCTCTCCTGGCCTGTGCGGGGTGCCCTCCTCCCTCTGTGGACACATCAGTGGCCATGGCCCCCTTTCGGCTTCCGGTCAGGTCTGGCTGTTGGGAGGAAGACTCCCCGTCCATCGGCCCTCTCCCCTCGGGGCTCTCTGGCTGGCGGCCGCGGCCGGCCTAGGGGATCATTGGCACCAGTTTCCTTATACCCTGCCCCCCTTTACTGGGCCTTCCCTGGCTACCTGATGTCACAGGACCCAACTCCACCTCTTACACATTTTGGTGGTGTCACGTGGCCTCGCTAAGTATTCAGGGCATCCCCAGAGAGTACTTAGTGGGTACCCACTCTGTCCTTGGGCTCGGGGTGACCTAGCGGGACCCTGGGTCCAGGTGGAAGAGGCTGTTGTTTGAGTCGGTGGCCCAGAAAGGCCTCCCTGCAGAGGTGACACTTGTGCCCATGAAAGGGCAGAGGGACCCCGAGGTTGGCGTGAGGGTAGCACATGGAGACAGGGTAAGGGGGCAGATGAAGTCAGAGAGGGCTGTGGCTGGCTGGGAAGGGCCCCGATGGTCCCACCTGCGGCATCCTCCCTGCTCCGAGATCTCAGGTGGCCCCCTGCCTTCCTCCCCCTAGTAAGTCCCCTGGGACAACGAGCGGCCCCACTGCACATACTTTCCTAGAAAGACCGTGTTCCTCCAAGCGCCTACCACTGTTCCCCTCATCCGCCCCATCCCCATCCTCATCCGGCAGCTGGAGGCCACTGGGGTCAGTCTGCAAAGCCTGCCCTTCGCCCACTCGTCTTTGTAGAGATGGAACCAGGACGTGATGGTTTCCTGTCCCAGCCAGTGACACTCGGCCTCCCAAATCAGACAGCAGCTTAGGGGCAAGTTGTCGGGGAGGTTCCCCTTGCAGAGCTGTTAGCTTTCCAGTTGGGCCTCACTGGTCTTGCTTGGGGCAGCAAGCAGGCCTTCTCAGCAGTGTCTCAGTGACGCAAGACCGCGTCAGGTGTGCTTAGCACACCTGAGACAGGCTGAGAGGCCTCTGACTGTAGCTCAAGCTGCCCAACCCTCCAGAACACCCACCCGGTGGCCTTCCTGGCCTAATCCCCGCTCCGCTACACCGCCCACAGAGTTCACCATTCCCCAAACGCCAGGCAGGACTCTGTGTCTTTGCATATGCTGTTCCCTCTACTGAGAATGCCTTGCTCTCAAATTTTTTTTTTTTTACATGGCAAGTGCCTATCCAACCTTTAAGACCCAGCCCAAACGACGCCTCCTCCAGGAAGCCTTCCTTTTCCCACCCCAACCTCAGGTGTCAGTCATTGCTCCATCCTCTGCTTCGCTGCCTATGCTTCCTTGTCGTGTCATCCTTTATTTCTCCATGGTTCCCGCCCTCACTGGACCCGTGCCTCCCCCAAGTGGAGACTGCTTTGTGCTGATCAGTTCATCTCTGGGCCCCCAGGCCGGGCTGTCAGTCCAGGGCTGGGGGGGGGGGGGATCATGTGAGCAGACGCGAACAAGAAACCAGACAAATCAGCGTTGAGTACACAGTCGCTGGCTCACAACTCAGTAAGTCCCCAAATCCTGCCGTGCAGAAAGAGAACCTGTCGTTATCGACAGCCATTGACAGGCCCAAATGCACCCGTCGGCAAATGTTTGTGTAAGGGACTCTCCCAGTCTCCCCCACCCCCGCTCCTCGCCCACCCCCAGGACCAGCAGGCTCAGCACTTCTGCCCCCTTCAATAAATCGAGTTCCACAGACAGCATTATTGCCTCAGCCTGGCCAGAAGTTTCTCTCTGGGATTGACTGTCTCCACAGCCACAGATCAGCTGCAGGCCGAGGTCCAGACGGGGTAGATCTTGGGTTGTCGGGAAAGTCATGACGCATTTTTGCAACGAAAAACAGAGAAAAAAGTACGTCATGACTTTTCCGACCACCCAATACAATCCTAAGAGGGATAAAGACAGCAGTTTATTTGTGTGCATCTTCCCGTGAATTTCCCACCAGCCCTGTGAGACGGGCACAATTAGCCCCCTTTTATGGATGAAAGGACTGAGACCGGCCAAGCACTGAAGTGACTCATGGCAGCTGCTGTTTATGAGGGACTTGCTCCGTGCCAGGGGCCACTCTCAGTGTGTGATACGCACTGTCTCATTGATCCTCACGGCCACCCTCGCAGGTGTAGGCACTGCTGTCTCCATTTTACAGACAGAGAATCTGAGGCTCAGCGTTGTGCCCCAACCAGGGTCACTCAGCTAGAAAGGGGCGGAGCTGAGATTTGCACTCCAGACCAGCTCTAGAGCCCCCCACGCACTGCGTTACACCAGCAAATGCCACTTTCACAGGGTCTTGGGCCTTCATTCGATCTGGGGTGTGTGAATATCTACTGCATGGCTTCCTTCATCTGACTCATCTAGACCCTGAATCTAGACTCTACGGGGTTCCTTCCGAAAGTGGAGGGGATGAAGAATAAATCATAATGGCAAACGTGGTATGGCCTTTAGAGTTGACACAGCATGTCCTCATAGAAGCCCTGCAGTGGGTGTTACATCGTCCCCGTTTACAGATGAGGATACTGAGGTGGGGTAAGCGCCTGCGGCCAGGGTTGGGTGTCAGAGCCATGAGCTTGGACTCCCTGGGAGTTGCTCTGGAGGGAGCTTTGCCCTGCCAGTTTCTAGAAGGGTCCGTCAGCTCTGAGCTAATCAAGCGTGCAGAGGGTGAGCACTGGGAGACCTTCCCCAGCACCAAGGGTAGATGCGGGGTCCCGGTGGGGAACGGACTTCACCCTAGGGTTGACCGAAAGAGCCTGTCTTACAGGGGCTGCTTACAGAGGTGGGGATGGCGTCCAGAGGTCGGCAGTAGTGAGGAGCTTTTAGCAAACCCCCCCCCCAACACCAGAGCCTGAAGGGCAGGGGGAGGAAGTGATGTCCCTGGTGTCAGTCCAGTGAGAGCAGGAGCCCAGGGGACGGCCACCCAGTCCCCCAGAGCGGAGGGACACAGCCGCTGCCAGGGAACTACACCAAGGCCGGGAGGGAACCGGGGAAGAAACACCTGCAGCGTCCTCTCCTCCACCCTCTGCTCTCCTTAGGCCCGTCTCATCTATAAGCCAGACGGCCAGGTCCCCCAGTGACGCCTTCCAGGGGGACAGAGCAGGATGGAGGATTGAGCTGGTGGCACCAAATGGAGACTACCCAGCCTATAGGGTACCCCACAAACATCAGAGCCTATGGCTGGGGTGGGGGTCGGGAGCAGCAGTGCCTGGCTTGGAGGGAACGCAAGATGCACTCATGATGCCCCTGTCTGCTGGGGTCACCAGCAAGCACGGCCGAGTGTCAACCTCCAAGCTGGCCTCACCTGCCTGGGGAGTGAAGAGACGGCAAAAGGTGGCCTGAGCGTTTGGGGGCCAAAGAGCCCGAAATTCATTACCAGTAGTGTTTTTACAGCACTCTTTTCCAAGAAATACATGATAGTCCTTGGAAAACAAAAGAACGCTGTACTCAGAAAACTGCACGATAGGGGATGGATGTTAACCCAGAATCCTTATCTTCATGTGTCCTAATCCAGGGCTGGCCTCAGAGGGGCTGTGAATACCCAGAAATGCTGTGTGCATGTGCGTGTGTGCGTGTGCGTGCGTGCGTGCGTGTGCGTGTGCGTGCGTGCGTGCGTGCGTGTGTGTGTGTGTGCGTACGTGTACCTCTCTGGCAAGAGTATCTGTGGTCATCAGATTTTCTATAAGGTCCTGGTTCCCAAAAGTTAGCTTCAGGAGAAAGAGCGTTGGCTTTGAAATTAACAGGACCCGGACTCTGCTGCCTCCCGGCTGCGTGTCCCAGGACGTGGCATTGTACCCTCTGGCCTTCCATTCCCATTTTATACACGAGGGTAACAAAGGTGCCAGCGCGTAGAATTGCTGAGAACATGATCAAGTGAATAACAAAAGCGCATGAGGTGCGGGGGTTTTTTAATCCGCACACCATGCCTAGGCAGTGGACGCCATGAATCTCCCCATTTCACAGATGAAGGGACTGAGGTGAAGTAACGTGCCCAGGGTCACACTGGTGGGCAGCGCTGGAGGCAGTCTGGCTACAGGGCCCCATAGTCGCCCTTTTCCCAGCTAAACAGGACGTTGAGGGGAGGGCTGTGGTACAGGTGCTCGGGGAATGTCGGCCCCTGTCACCCACCAACCCCATTGTCTGTCTGATCTCTTCAGGCAACAGGCAGTGTCCATGGCAGGGCTGCTGGCCTTCTGCCCTTCTGGCCGGACACTTTTTCCCCCTGCTCTGCCCCTTCCCTGTGGTGAAAAAGACCCAGCTCATTTGTGTCGAAATCCGCATTGTTCAGAGCTTCCAGGGCCCTGGCAGACTCTGAGGGCAGCTGGGATCCGTGCCCAGTTCCCGCCCCCGGCCCTGAGCTCTGCCAGGAAGGCACTCAGATCTCAGGTGGAGGCCGAGAGCCCCATTTGCCCAGCCTGAGCACCATGGCCGGCAGTGACAAAGGGCTCCCTGTGGAATGTGGGCCTCGGAATGAAAGGCAGGCATCTTAACCATTCGCGGGGCCCTGCGGGAAGCTTGCTGATGACACTCCGTGGCCTCTGATCCACCCTAGGGGACAGTAGGAGGTGACGGGGTAGATAGAGTAGAACTTTGGTTCCAGCCGAAGCCCTCATTGTGGTCGGTGTAATCAGCGTAGTTACCCCGAGTTCCCCCTCCCCCTGGGGCTCGGCTTCCACAGACCAGCCCCTGGCTTGGGGGAACTGGAGACAGCATGCTGGTAGGTGGGGGGCTGCCCGGCCCCTGTGAGCAGCCTCTCTGTCCTCCTGCGGGTCCCTGATGGGCCTAGGTCAAGGTGGACAGCTCCATGTGCAGCTCAGACTAATAGCACTGTTATTACTATAACAACCTTCATCTGTTAAGCCTTGCTCTGTGCCAGGTCCTATCTGTGGGCTTCCACAGG